TCCATTCAGTCTTTTGCAGCACCAAGAAGGGAGAATTAGTCAGCTGTTCTTTGTTTTTATTTCCCTGACTCTTGAACAGGGTCCAGGCTTGCTCCTGAGGTTTTTCATCTGGATCAGTCTGAATAAAACAGATTTTCTTGCAACCGAAAACCCTTTCTTTGCAAAAGGTTATGATAACCAAAGGAAGCCAAGCTCCCCCAGATTTTGTTTGGGGGGTGGGATGGGGAATGGAACTGGCTTCCCGCAGTCCTGTTCACATTAAAGCAGGTTCGTAGGACACTTTTTTAAAAACAAAACAAAAAATGAAAGCTATCATGTTTGTGCCTTAACGGAGCATGCCAGAATGCTGTTGCTAAGATGATGCATGCTGATTTTGGCATAAATAGTTATTTGAGCAGACCCTACCCTAAGGAGTTGAGTCTCAATCCTTTCTCTCCTGTATAGGAACAAATCAATTATTCTAAGGAGGCAGTGTTGTCTCTTGGTGCTGTTGTGTTGCTTTTTGAAAACGTTTTGTAAGTTAGTCCTTAAGTGGGATAATTGCTTTCAGCATTTGCAAGTTAAATGAAGAAAGCTCTAATTAGATTTTATAAAGTGGCTTAGCATGTTGAGAAGGCTTTTCATAAAGTATACTGTGTATTCACTTGGCGTTGCACAATTGAATTTCGTTGTAGGGCTGACGAAACCAAAAAAATCCTATTTGGCCTTGGTTGCTCCTGGGTGCTTAAAGGATTGAAAGCCCGTCTTGGGTGCTCCTAGTTATACGTATTCTCTTCCTTTCCCAACCATCCCACCCTTATCGGAGCATTTGTTTGTATTTTAGAGACAGGAGGAGTTGCATCAGGACCAACCTGTTTGAGGAAGGGTATCGGAGTAGGGCGTAGAAGCTTGGTATTTTGTAGCACTTTTAAAACGGGGCCATGGCACATAGTGTTTAATCTGTCTTAGCCATTATTACGCTGTGCTAATTGTACAGTGGTGCTGGGTGGCAGAGAGCCATTTTGTTCAGGTTAGTCTTAGCTCTGTGTGGGCACTTATTGAGTTTGACAGAAAACCAACACTGCCCATGCTTAGTAATCTTTGGTATTGTTTGGTGTCCTGTAGGTTAGAAATGTGATATGCTAATGCTTTACTATTTCCACCGTGGCCTTGGCATAAGTGGAGGGACTGGCCAAAGCAGCGTAACATATTGCTTGCCATCTGAATAAGAACTTAGCCTAGTCACAAGCTTCTTTCACGTGTGGTTTCTGCAGTGTGAGTGCCAGCCGCTTCCTGATGAGAATTGGAAAGTGTCCCCAAAGCCGGTGTTTGTTCAGACCATTTGGGCGCTGTTGCTGCATGTGACTTCTTAGTTAAAACAGACTCTAATATGCGCTTTGTTTAGGAAGCAATACATCTACTAAATCAGTTCTTGAAGCTTCATCTGCAAAAATGTAGATCCCACATGCTAACAACTTTGAAGACAGTTCAATGAAACTAGATCTAAAGAACATGTACTTAATGAGAAGTCTTGCATCGATTTGTTATTATTTCAGATAACCACAGGAGCAGGTGATTGCAGACTGGTCAAAACTGTTATCTGCCTTCTGTTCTGCTCAGGAAGACTTGGACTTGTTTCACTTGTTGTTATCAGGGTGCAGGTGAAACTGTCTTTAGCTGCAGGTATGTTTGGGAATGGCAGTTAGTATGCTGAGAGGAGTAGCAAGTACAATAGATACTTTCTGTGTGTCTCCAGCTTACCTTTGATGATGAGGCCCAAATTTGAGTAAGGATATAGAGATCTCTATTAAGATCTGCTCACTTTGGGATGTTAAGTCATGGATTGTCAACCAGCCTACGTCCTGGCAGGAGGGGACAAAAAGTTGTTCTCCTGCTCTCTAACCATACTGAATTTCTTCAACTGTAGGTTAAAAAGAGTAATGTCTATTATGGTCAATTTTTCTCACTTGTTACTTATAAGGAGTCAAGTTCTTTTGAAAAAT